TGATTCTTTGAGAGAAAGAACCCTATTATTTGGTTTTTTAATTTTTGTTGGCTAGTTTTAGTAAGTCTATAACTAATGGCTAGAGATTGGTAAATTTGAGATTTATTTAGGATATTTGTGTAAGTTTCCCTTAGATTAAAGGAAGAGCTGCCTTGATTTGATTTTAAACAGATACGCATGGAAAGAAAGTTCTTTTTTAAGTTTTGTTAGAACCTGAAAAGATCAAGGCAGAAGAAAATGCATTTTTTTTTTCGATTTGGTAAGAAATTTAATAATTACGAATTAGTTTTTTATCAGGCACAAAGTTAAGAAATATAAAAAATATTTGTGAGGTGTAAGCCAAATATATATAACATAACCGAATTTATTCTTTTAAATGAATAGTAGTAAGTTCTCATTTTTTCTCTACTTGTAAAAGAATAAACATTTATAGTCGATAAATGTATGTCATAGATAAAATTGAAAATTATGTTGGGGTGGGCATAAAATAAATAAAATGGAAAGGTGGATTGTGGACTGATTTGGGTTAAAATGGGAATTAAAAGCGGCCCAAAAGAAGAAAAGGGCATCCAGTTCAAAATTTGAAATACAGCAGCGATGCCTGTGTACCGTTGGAAAGACAGACTCAGGCTGATCCATTCCTCTATAGAGCTCAGCTGAAAAGAGATAAGAGTCACAATGAACAATATGAGACGCCATGGCTGGCAACGTCCTCTTCACACGTTGCAGGTTAGCCATCTACACTTTTTTTCTCCTTTCTCTTTCACTTCTATTCTGAATTTAATTTTTGGAATTAAACTTTAGTGTTCAAATGCAGATAGTGGGAATTTCAGTCTTCTGTTTCCTCTTACTGACTTTTTACTGCTTCCTGGGTCTTCTCCTCGGTAGTAGGATTGCTGAAATCACTGTCACCTCTGTTTTCACCTTCGTGGTAATTTAATTTTCTCCAGTAATTTTTTTTAGCTCAGTGTATTCAAACAACTGTATTTTGAGGCACAAATCAAATTTTTGCGTATCTGCCGTTCGTTTTATGCAGGCACTTTCTGCTGCATTTTTGTTTATAAGGTGTGCGGCCATTGATCCAACTGACAGGACGAGGTTCAGAGTGAAGAAAAAAAGCAATCGCACAGGGTTTTCGAACGTTAATTATGGATTTGTGTTGGGTCAAGTTATTATGAGATTTATAAGGAGAATAGAGAGGAGAGTCCTTAAGACCTTCATAAGGAGAAAGTACTTGGATCCTTTGAAGAGTAATCCTCATTTGGAGCCTTTGCTCACATATCCCCTTCTCGTCAAAGATGATTTGGTCACGCCACAGACAAGGGAGGATGACATTTCGTTTTGTTCGCTTTGTGATTTTGAGGTTCGCCGCTGCATCTGTCATTTAAGTTTTGCTAAATTGAATAGACCCCACTAGAATTTATGTTTTAGATAGGGCATATGTTTTTTGTTTCACTGTCTACTTGCACACGCCAAATGGCTGAGCCAGGAATTTATATAAGGGGATTCAAAAAAGTACTACAATCTCGTTGTTGAGATTTGAACTTGTGACCTAAAACAACTTTTGGGCCCATTTTACCACTACATTAGAATTTTCCTTCATGTAAAGGGGATTAAACAGTTTTAAATAATAAAAAAAATTAAAATTTTGCCCTAATTACGTGGTATATTTTTTTCGACAAAGAAAATTCAGTTGAACCCCCTCCCTCTTACTAGCTTCGCCCCTGGCACGTACATTGTTAATGTGGTGAAACAACATTATGCAGTTTCTAATAGTTGACAAATATATGAAAGTATTNTAGTTGAAAAATATATGAAAGTATTTATCTTGATCGTGTTTGCAGGTTAAAAAGCATAGCAAACACTGTCGGACCTGCAACCGATGTGTGGAGGGATTTGATCACCACTGCAGAGTAAGGAAATAGGATCTCTTTCTCTGTTGCTTCGTACATTAAGGTACATCCGTACTCAAACTGACAGGATCTTTGTCTTTGAGTTGTTGCAGTGGTTAAACAATTGTGTCGGGAAGAAGAACTATACCACCTTCATTTTTCTAATGATATCCCTCTTGATAATGGTTGCTCTCTTTTTCTCTCTCACACTCTCTTCTTTTTCGGATATTCCTATTGAGTTTACATCTTAAGCTGCTAACAAATTTCTTGGTGAAACAGCTGCTTATTGAAGGAGGGACTGCTGTTGCCATATTTGTAAGGTGCTTTGCCAACAAAAGGAGCATAGAGCAAGAGATTCATATAAGATTCAATGCCAAGTTCCCTAGAGGAGTTCTTGCAACATTTTGTGTACGATTCTTTGCTTGTTTCTCTATTCCTCCCTGAATTCCATCAGTTGTTTATTTTCAATGTATCTTTTACAGGTGATTTTGTTTCTAATGACATCATATTGTTCGGCAGCACTGGGGCAGCTTTTCTTCTTTCATATAGTTCTCATCCGAAAGGTATGACTGTGTTCCCCTTTCCCAAAGATTTGTTGCAACAATAAAAGCATAACATATCTTTTGGATTGAGAGGAAGCAAGCGGAAGGAGAGAGAGGGCTGAGTTTGCTTTTGTATTGGTTTTAATTGAGAGAAAGCAGAATAGCGTCATGAACAAAGAGTTCCGATTTTCGCTTAAAAATAAGCGGAAAGGAGACCTTATCGACACCCATTTCTTTCTTTTCCTTTCAACTAATGTAAGATAATAAGTAGGCTTATTATGTACTCCTATGTGATAGTAAGAGCAAGCTTATTTATACATGGGAAATTGGAAAAATTAAAAACATGAGCTACTTGATTGCTTTAGTGTAGGAAACTTTAGGATAGAACCAAGGCTACTATTGCTATAGCGTATGCTTCTAATACCACAAAAAAGTGGGTGCCATGTTAATCTTAAAGTAAGACAACATAAGAAAATCTACTTAGAAAAGAGAACTTAGTTTGTGGGCTGGTACAAGAACATCTTAGAGTACTATATATGTTGGTGTAAGAATAAAGTAGCTCTTCTTAGAGCTCCTATTGCTATACTGTAGGAATTTTAAAGTAAGGTTCATTATGCTTAGCTCTTCGTAGTTAGTGCTGCTGCAGCCTCCTTCTCCTTAACAAGTTTGTGCTGATAGACAACACATCGTAGGGTTGTAGACTACTGAGAACATAAGAAACTCAGCGTACAAGTTGCCCAACATTCTCAGTTAAGTTTCTTGGTTTCACTGCTCATGATAAACCATGGTTCTGTTGGCAGGGAATGAGAACTTATGATTACATTTTAGCAATGAGAGAGGAGAACCAGTCTATGGAGCTTTTAGAGTCATCAGAAGATTCAGATTCCTCCTCGGATGAGAGTATCGACTTTGATTCACCTGAGAAGCCATCACTTATTTCACAACTTACATGCAGAGAAAAAAGAATGAATCAGGTACGGTATGCATATCTTTTGCCTCAGTTTTTTGCATTCCTAGACCAATCAAAACTGGATATTTCTCTTTTGATCTTGTAAGCTGAATCTTGCACTTTTTGATCAGATCCCGCAGACAGTATCAATAAAAATTGATGGAGAAACTGAATCGTCCACATTGAAAGAAAAGCGAGGTTTTCGAGCTAACATTGACCCGTGGAAACTTATAAGTATGAGTAGAGAGAAAGCTCTACAAGCAGCTGAAAAGGCAAAGGAACGGCTCATCAAGCAGAAGGAAATAGTAGACCCAATGAAGCCACTACCACTAGAAACAAGAAGTGGACCACTGATGAATTTGGATACTAATAGAGTTCCCTTAGCTGTGGCGAACAGTAGGGAACTTGGTTTGACAAAAGATATCATCACAAAAGGGAGGCTAACCCGTAGTGGGGGATCGCCATTGCAGCTCTCTAGTCCAAGGCGACGATGTTCCTATTCTCCAACAGTTGGTATCCCTACACCTCGTAGTGGTAATGCTACTGTAGCATCTCCATCACCAAAACATAGATATAAAGGCAATTTCGATTTGAAATTAACGCAAGTCTCCAGGGAACTTGAGACTTACATTTCGAGGCAGGTATTATTTTCTGCCTTGAAGAAAGAAAATGAGATTGCAGCATCGCCAAGATAATGTTTATGGGGTGGGTACGTTTTTCTTCTTCTAATTCACTTGTAATAGTATTTATGTTACTGGAATTGTTGCACAGGTTGACTCCATCATCATAACGAAGAACAACATTTGTATGATAATGTTACCTGCTCTCTTTTCTAGGAATATTTGTTGCCCTTCAAGAGAGTTATGTGGTTAGTAAGGATTCGTATAGCCGACACCAACTTGGAACTTAGGCATAGTTATTTTTTGTATTTGTTGCCTTTCTTATTAGCTGAAAATTCTATTAATGTAGCGTAGAACTCCACTTGACTTGGTTATTCTCTACTTGAATATTCCCTTTCGTATCTTGACTTGGTTATTCTCCACTTGAATATGTCGATGGGTTTTGGTCAAGAACTCCTTTTATTGTTCTCCACAATTTTTCTTATTTTCCTACTTTTAAAGTTCTATCATTTTAAAATTTTCACTTATTAGTTTAATCTTGTGCAAATTAAAACGAAAGCAACCAATCCGAAGGGTGATGGTGCTTAAATTGACCTTGGATTCAACAATTGCGTTTCACTTCTCAATTCGCTTTCCCCGCTAGTCTCGAGGAATTGATCCCTACGAGTGGACTTGCCTAATGCCTCGTGTCTAAATCCTATTAACGACTTCCTATTTAAGCAAAAAAGAAAAAAATAATAATATTCAAACCAACCAATCTTTAAGCAATAAAATAAAATAGACTAGTTATATTTCAATGAGCTAGTCTCAAAGAGTATGGATGATATTAAATGAGTAGAATCAAGTTTAAAATTCTAATATTCAAACCAAGGATCTAAATTTGAAAAAGTGGCCAACTTCTAAATATAAGGCAACAAAAGTGGCCATCTGACCTAAACACCAAGCCCATGTTCAACGTAGCTCATTCATTATATATGTCCAAACTCAGTTCGTAGTTTCTGAAATTTTCAAAGGCAGGAGAGGTGAAAGATGAGTATGCCAATTACTGCTTCTAGAACCAAATCTACCGGAGAAGTTGTCTTCGTTTGCGGCAACTCTTTCCCTCAACAGAAAATGTAAACCTCTTTTTTTTTTTTTTTCGATTGATTTTTAATATAGTCAATCTAGTTGTAGTAAGCATTGTTAATTAATGGCTGCCGTTTCTGATGTACACCATAAATGTAATGCAGCAGGTGCTATGAAGGTAAAGTTCTGGACCGTCTTCTCACATCGATTAAGAGGTAAACATATCCTTCTCTCCCTGTTTCTCAAGTGTCTGTTTTTTTTGCCGAAAGATATTAACGACGCCAGCCGCAGGGAGATAGCGACAGCCAGAAACTCTAACGTATCTTTACCTGAGAAACTTTGGCTTAAGGTTGGTTCCTCCTCTCCTCTTTCGGTTCTTTTTTTTTTTGGAATATTTTAAATGGAAAATAGCAAAATTTGTCCTGTAGTATTCGAAATTGTTCAATTGTGCCTCCGTTACATGTTTGGTTCCTTCATACCCCTATAAGCTATTTGCCCCCTGCACTGCCATTAACGGAGCTCTATCCTGTAATGCCATTAACAAAGCTCTATTATAAAATTGGTGGACTCCACGTGTCCAAATTTACCTCTCAACTTATGATAATGATTTAAACTTAATCTCGTGATGAGATTTTTTCCTAACCACTGGTAAAGATTAGACCATCCAGCGTTTCTCTCGAAGAGATCTAGAAAAGAAATATTACTATCAATTAACTTTTTTAAAAGAAAAAAGCCTTTATTCCAGTTTTCCATTATATAGGACACTAAAACTATTTGTTCTGTTCATCTCATCCTCACATTGCCGATTTGATATGCGTGCAGCTACAGTTTTCAGTAGGGGTGAATGAAATTACGCGGGTACTTGAGAGAATGCCGCCGATTCCTGCTAATGAACGATCATCACTATCGGCTAAGGTGCATTCTGCTAGAATTCAGGTTTAGCTCGCCTACTCATGAGTTTTTTAACGTCTTAACTTTCATTTGGTTTAACCTGGCTAACAAATTTCACAAGGGGTTTATATGATTAATCTTCAAAGAGTCAATTCCTCCTTGTACTTGTGTATTCTTCCAATTCAATGCTTACATCAGTATCATACAGGATTTCAAGTTCTTTCATATGCTGCATTGTTTTGTTACACTCTTTAACTTTGCTTATTGTGGGTATTTAGGCTGTACTAGTAGCATCTGATTGTCATCCGCGGTTGCTGACCAAACATCTGGAAAGCTTGGCTATTTCAAAAAAAGTACCAATTGTCTTTGTCAAAGATAACAAAAGAGGTTCTTTGAGATTAGGTGAATTGGTAAAACTTAAAACTGCAATTGCCATTGGCGTTAAGGTTGGGGAATTATACTCTTTCCTTTTTTTGGGCGTGTGGATTTTGAACTGGACTTTTAACTTCAAATGTGTAATATGGTATGCTCAATGCAGGATAAAGGCAACCAGTTTAATAAATTCATCAGCAACGAAATCATCCATAACTTTGAATGAACTACATTGCAACTGGAGCTTCATACACAGACATTGATCAATTGTATATTGTGGAGGAGCATCTGGTCATTTTTGGTTACAAGCCTTGTGAAAGTGAAGTAATATGTAGTTCTATGAAGCATTTATCATCTATACAATCACATGTACATCAGGGAAGATAACTTACATGGTATTGATACAAAGACCTACTGAATTTTGTATTCTTATCTTAGCTGAGTAATGGCTGCGAAGATTCACAATGTATTGCGGCCCTGTGGCCACCTTCCTTCAATTTGCAAGTAACATCTAAGCTGCTTTGCAATTCAGAATTATGTGTTCGTAAATGAAGCTACCTCTCATGGCTCCTACTTTCCCCAAAATTGTCAGTTCCACATTAATGTCTTATGTTCTAGACTGTGAACTAACAGCTGATGGGGACGGATTAGTAGCACCATTACTACCCCTCCCATTAGTCTCGAGTTTGTCCACCTTGTTGCTCTGTTTCTGGTCTTGCTGCTTTACCATGACTGGTTGAAACTGACAAAAGAAAAGTGCGGATTTGGTTAATTGGGAGGAGTGAACCAAAACATTGCATCCTGTACAAACTTTCTTTCTTAAGGATTAGTAGATCTCAAAGTCGGAATACTAACCTGATAAACAGCGTATATGACATTCCTCCTGATCTGTGCCATCATCTCAATAAAAAGGTTGTACCCTTCAAGTTTGTATTCAATTAGTGGATCCCTTTGTGCATAGCCTCGTAACCCCACAGCCTGCTGAACAAACTTGAGTGCTTGCAAGTGTTCTTTCCACAGACGATCAATGTTGTTCAGTATAAGAAACTTCTCTGCCTCTTTCATCAAACCTGGAGCTTGTTTCTCCACAATATCCTATATAGTCACAATGAATATTCAATAGTAAAAGGAAAAAGAAGGAAATGAAGAAACAATTCAGTGCCAAAATTTTTTAAGAGAAGCTGACATATAGAGCACTTTCCATTCGAACAAAATTCCCTTTCAAAGTTTTCAAAAATTGAAGAGCAAATAACTTACAAAAGTTTGTCGCAGTAATTCAACCCACATGCCTTTTCTGTCAATAATTTCTCTTTTCTTATTTCAAAACTATTTTTGGTGCATGTTTGGTCTGATTATCAAAATCTGATTCTTAATATGTAGAAGGATTACTATTTAAATTGAACAAAACACATAGTCTGTATATAGTTCACGGATTGGAACTCTGATGTATTGACTATAGACTTGTGATATAATAATCCGATTATAAGAAATGTTGATCAAGACAGGTGAAATAATCTGAATCAATAAGGTACAAAATCTTGGCCAGTTCCCCCGAGCAATTTTTGTTTGATCCCAAGAAATTCAATCAACTAGACCTCTAGACCTCTTCCCAAAATATTCTAGGTTGACCATGTGAATCGTCCGTATCATTCAAAAAATTTGTTATAATTAGACTATTTCACGTTGAACAATGACCTATTGCAACCACTCTGGCTTATCCGAGCTTAAGACTAGCTATGCTTTGATCAGATACACAGTGGATGTGCAAGAAAAAAAGGGAAGAAATTTTGAGATAGCATTTGGACTTTGAGGTAGTTTTCTTGCTCCACCTCTTTTGTTCCATTTACACCTTTACAACATGCATCCTACCGCTACTGATTGCAAAAGTATAGGCACAGGAAGAGTTTTTTTATAAATAACTTGAAAATATTAAGAGCTATTCAACATTTCAACTTGATGTGGAGTATGGATATCATTCCTTGCCCATAAATGAATTTCAGAATTGTGTAAACAGTCTCATCTAAAGGCTTAAATTTTTATGCATTTATTTTAGGTTTAATTCTCTTTCTTGGATCAAACACTTGACCCATTTGAAGAGTGCAGTAAGACACAAACTTATGATCTCTGCCACGCCATCTAGAAATGCAAATTGTTAGAAAGGAGACCTTTTTAATTTGTCTAAGACTACAACAGAATGTTTGTTTGTGGGAGAATCACTTGCACATCCCTTCAAAGTTAATGATTTTAAGAGGACATGCCCTCTGATTATAAAATAACAAGATCCTACCATCACAAGCAGATCTAACAGATTATGAGAAATGACTTCTTTTCTCAATGAGAACTGCAACCTCACCTGAATTGAGAAACATAGAGAAAGTGCAAAAGCAAAACCAACCTCCATGTCCGATACCCTCCCTCTACTCTGCCAGTAGGCATTACTCCCTCCATCTCTTCCAACCAACCTTTTCTTTTAAAAAGCTTGGGTGTTTTAAATACTTGAGGACAGTATTCAATAATTACTTTCATCTTTCAAGGATCACCTACACTAAACCTAATGATCGAAGTAAGAGCTGGAAAGAAATGTAGGAAATGCTTTGTCAAGTACAACCAGAGAAAACTGACCCTCTTCTGGAGATATGCTTCGCGTCCACGTAGCTGAAGATACTGCTGTAATGCTTCATAAGTTGAACCATTACTCGTCAACAAATCAGGTGTCAAATCATTCAGCAGATAGCAATACCTGTAAAGGTCAAGCAACTCAGAGTAGAATTGTAATACGAATATACTATTCAGAACTTGGAAGGACATTTGGGTGAAATGGAGCTTTAGGTGACAACAACCAAAGCTGGTTACAACACTCTTTAGATGCCAAAGCCTTTCCTTTAGTACAAAAATATAAAGATGCATAAAGTCATAAACAAAATAACATAGTAAAGCTTCTTCACGAGATTCTTACTGTTGGAGCTTTGAAATAAGCTTCTCGAGCTCCCAACTCTCTCTTGGAGCGTCAGGACCAATATTTGCCTGTTACATTCCAACAGAAAAAGAAAAATGACGTCACAAATCCATTTGCGAAAGAACTGACTTTCAAAGTTCGGAAATTAATAAATCCATATACCTCCAGAATGTCATTCATTGTTAATTCAGCATATTCAATAAGGAGAGATTGGAGGTCGTCTGCTTCTAGGGCCCTTCTTCTCTCGGTGTATATCCTGTCTCTTTGGCTATTCAATACCTCATCATATTCAAATAATTGCTTTCTGATGTCAAAAAAGTAATTTTCTACTTTCCGTTGAGCTTCATCTAGCGCTTTTGTCAACATCTTCGATTCAATTGGCAGGTCCTCTACTCTAAAAGCTCTCATCAGCCCCTGAATGTCATAAAATTAATAGTGTCTTACAAGAACATTATATCTAGAGTACACAAATTACCTACCTGAATCCGATCCCCCCCAAATACACGGAATATGTTATCTTCAAGACTGAGGAAGAAGCGGGAACTTCCAGGATCTCCTTGCCTACCACTTCGACCACGCAGCTTTGCACATATAAATATTACAATCAAACTTCCAATGGAATAACTATGAAACTAATTGGTTTTGCACTTACATACTGCAAAAAAAGTACCTGATTGTCAATTCGCCGCGACTCATGCCGTTCCGTCCCGATCACATGCAGCCCACCAGCCGAAACAGCCTTTGCACGTCAAAATAAAAAGTCACAAGAATATACAACCGAAGGGAAAAAGGAGAAGAAATTTCATAAATTGAGTCAAGCTGGAGGTTAGAGCTACTTTGCAGAGGAAGGGATTTTTCTTTTATATTGGAGTGCGAGGTATTTATTTGGGAGGACAAAAAGCAAAGAGAAGTTGAAGAAAACTTATCCTGTAGAAATATTTACAAATTCCAGTATTTTCAACTTCTTTTAAGCATCATCATATTATTAGTTTTATCCTCTTTTTACTCGTTAGAAGATCAAAAAGTATATTAATATTAGAGGATGAAGTTACAATATTGATCAATCTCTTACAAAAAAAAAGAAAAAAAGAAAAAATCTGTATTACTACCTCATATTTTCAGTCCCACTCAGATAGTGTATGCCACAGAATCATACATATGTGCAATATATTCAAGCAGCAGAAACAAAGAGAGGTTCATGATGAAGTGAATGCTGGTTTTCAGAAATTTACGACTAGTTCAAATTGAAAGAGGAATTCTCAAGATAATTTAAAGGAGCAGAAATTACCTCCTTTTTCTCTCCCTCAGTGTAGACTTTATATTCCCTGACAATTTCTAGAAAAGCACTGCGTAATTTCGCAATTACTTCATCTTGAACAGGACCCTGCGACATAAATTACACATCCATTAAGAGTAATCAAAAACAATTGTCTTTACTATTGTGCTTGAGTCATTGTCTCTCTCCAAACAATAGAAGGAAAAGGTATCAACATAAGCGTTGAAATTTCAAATATTAGGAGGCGTTTTATCAAGTTGGATTATGAAAGCTAGGAATAAGTAATATACACTGCTGGCATCGGCTGCATAACGATTTCCATTTCTATTTTGGATTTTCCTCTGTAAGGCGTAACTTCTTATGGGTTAGCTATCCTCATTGGATATTAAAATCACTCTTGTCAAGACAAAGATACTCACAAGATAATTAATTCTTATTTTAACTTCACCTTTTCACAAGAGTAAGATAATCGTTCCTCCGCTTCTAGTTCAGTTAATGATCTCGGACCCCATATTTTTACAGCAAATTCTACCGCTTCCTCGGCCAGCTTGGTTTTTTCTTTGGACAGCGCGCATGGAAATAGGCTTTCAGTAACCTGAAGGATTATGCGGACATCAATCTCATAGTAATCACAATTAAAGAATACTTTTGAAGTTGCTTTACAAAATCAGACTCAAGACTAACCTTCCATGACCGCTTTGGAGGAGGTTTCTTTACAGAGACAAAAACTCCTTCAGCTGGTCTGACAACTCTGTGGCATTCATATTATTCACAAAATGTTGTAATACTTTGACGCAATGGCTTATTATAAGAAGATAGTTCACATTAGCCAGTGATTTCTCCGTCTAGTTATAATTTTTATCATCAGTATACACTAGTTCTTTTCCTAAATGACAAATTAATTAGCAGACAACACCAATTCCAAACGCCACCAACTGCTATAAGGAATACCAACTTGCTCTTCTTAGGAAGAAAAAAGTCTAATTCTTTTGCAATAGCAGTCAATTGGGCATCTATTCACAATTCATGAGAATATAAAATTATCCATTGAGCAACAACCTTGGCATTAATATTTCTCGCAACTTCAATCTTGCCATGAATTCTGCATTACCGCCAAGAATTATATCTGTCCCGCGACCTGCCATGTTAGTTGCAATTGTAACTGCACCAAGACGCCCGCTCTGTGCCACAATTTCAGCTTCTCTTTCCACATTTTCTGGTTTAGCATTCAGAACCTTGTATAAACAATGTCCATTCAAAAACCTTTAGAGAATAACTAACTTGGGGCATTTTGA